CTAAACTGTGGCTATTTGCTCCCATAAAAAGAATATTTATTAGGAATGATGTCAGATTTATTTCAAAAGTAAGTTAATCTGTTTAAAAGACAGAATAAATGAAATTCTCATTCAACAATATAAATAGCAGTTTTTCTTCCCAATGACTGTAAGCTTGAAAGCATAATTTCAGGTTTTATGGTTCAAATTCAGTAAAAGTAGGAACTGTTATCTGCACTGGAATATCTGATTAAATATGTAAAGAATAGAAAGATTTAAAACGAGACTCCATACCAAAAGCATCATGTTCTGCATCAGTGAAAGGTAGAAGAAAAATCTACCTTTGTAGATTTTTGTAGATGTGTGAAAATGTAGTCCATGCTTATACTGACAGTCTCATATTGCTCCCTCCATCCTATCTAGTTCTGAATTTCAGCAGACAAGAAATATGGGGTATGGCTTATAAGACTTTAAAATGATTTGCTGTTAGAAAATGCTTTTCTGCCTAGCACAAAGCTACACCAATAAATCCCCAAATAGGTCTGTGAAGGCATTTGGTCAGGAAATCAGGATTCTAATTCTGGCCTGACAGCATTAAGTTTAACAATGGTTAAGCCACTTTACTTCCATTTCCTCATCAGTAAAATGAAAAGTTAGTATGTACAAACACACACACACACACACAAATTCTAATCAGTGGGTTAAGTACAGAGGATAGAAAACTTGCAGAATGGAAGACAGCTCTGTGTTCAGGCCAACTTACCAGTAACTCAATGCAACAAGCTTTTACTGAGCAGTCTCTGTCTCCCAGAAACTGTTAGATGCTTGAGATACAGAGATTAATGAGTGGTTTGGTCTCCACTTAAAGGAAAGCATTAAAAAAAAGGAAAGAAAAAAATTCCTGCCTTGAAGAACTGACAATGCAGCTGATGACACAACTAAGACACATGAACCATAACTACCCAATACAATGAGTTTGGTGCTATGAAAGAGGAAAGTTCAAGTGTAATGGGAGCATTCAGAAGGAAATACCACTAGCAAGCTCACCAGTTCAAGCTAGAGAAATGTGTGGTGTATGTGGAAAACCATGAAGATGTTACAGAGAATGCCCTACTAGGACAAGCAAAATTCAAGAGACTGGATTTTAAGAGTCTAACCCAAGTTTCTAAATACTCTCAATAATTATAAATAATAACTATAGCTAATTACACCTCAAAGTTGGTCTAGGTCAATCTTAGTAGATTCTCTAAAATAACAAAAACACACAAAAATCTGAGACTATCTTATTTGAAATGACTACAAATAAATGGTACTTACACATGATTCTAAACCTAACAAATCCATTTTTTTCTTCTAAAACTATATTTCAATTTTATTCATTGATTTTCGTATTTGCTTTGGTAGAAAACATTGCTAGTTACTATCCCCATGCTTGACCCACTATATTTTAATTAAAAAAAAATCCTTTACACATCAAAATGGAAAGTAGTGTTATAAGAACATAAAAATTAAATTGTAACAATTTAACCAAGGTCACTAGAATCTTTTCAGATTGTTCTCCAGTTAAAGCAGAGAATTTAAAAAAAGAAAAGAGACAGAGAGAGTGTGTGTGTGTGTGTGAGAGAGAGAGAGAGAGAGAGAGAGAATGTGCGTGCAGGAGAGGTAGGGATAGGACAGTTTTTTCCAGATGTCCTATTAAGGTACTTACAGTGCTGATCACAATCAACTCTGGCAAACACGACTTGATTTTCATTTGGATATTCTTCCTTAATGACATCAGAAGCTTCCTCAAAAATTGGATGCAACATCTGACTGAAGCGACACCTATACATGGAAAAGGACACCAATTAGAAATGAAAAGAAGTAATAAAATCTTAATTTAGTTATCACCCACTGATACTTAGTATAGGTACAATAAACAAGTCCACAAGAGAATCACATATGTAATTTAATTATGGATTCTGATGTCATTCAATGGAGAGGAAGACGATTTTGAATTCAAAGACTGTACTCCAATTCTAAGACTGTATAAATAACTAAAAGACATTGGTTTTTTTTCACCTTAAGGTAATTGCCAGTATTATGGAGCACACAGCTAAGGAGCTTTTGCAGAGGCCATGAAATAAGTCTGAAATAAGTCCTCGAAGATGTACTGCTAGGCCTTATAACTACTGAGGCTTCACCATTCATAAAAGAAATTAGCTTCCTCTAAATAATTGAACATATTTTTAGGCTACTGTAAAAAAATCTTTTAATATTAAATATTAATCTTTTAATAATAAATATTAGATCAATCTACCTGGCCAGTTCAATCAAATCTCACAGGCAAGTTAGCATACTAAATAAGTTGTATTAAAAGGATACATGGTATGTGATGAACTGGTTCCCCTCAAAATTTATCTCGTTAAAATGGGCTTTTATATCTGTAAACATACTCAAAATATTAAGTCCAGAAGCAAACATTTTAATAAATTTCTAAACAAGACTTCCTGTCTATATTTACCTTTTTTTTTCTTTTACTTTAAAAATTGGGCACAGACCCCATAATATTCCAGGAACTTGTTACTTCTAGTTCTGACTGTCCCTTAATCAGGCCAACCACTTCACAAATATAGTCGTGCATTACTTAACAACGGGGATACACCCTAGGAGATGAAATGTATCAGGTGATTTCTTCATTGGGCAAACATCATAAAGTGTACTTATACAAACCTAGATGGTAGAGCCTACTACACACCTATAGCCTACTACACACTTATAGCCTGCTCCTAGACTATAAACCTATATGGCATATAAGTATACTGAATACTGTAGGCAACTGTAATATAGTGGTAAGTATTTGTGTATCTCAACCATAGACAAGGTACAGTAAAAATATGGTATTATAATTTTATGGGACCTCTGTCATTGATCTAAATGTTGTTATGCAGTGCATGACTATATACATTCTGGGTCATTAAAGGGACTTGATAAGAAAGGAAAGAAGAATTAGAATCAGTATACAACCAGCTGGGTTAGAATGGTCATTCTCTTATGGAAAAGGTATTGAGGATATGTAAACAAAGAACTATAATTGCTACTATTGCTTCCAGAGCTCTTTTCCACCAGGAAATTTACTTAAATGAAGCCCGTGAACTGTTTGATCCACACATGATCAGGTCATATTAGCTATAATTCAATAAAAATATTGTAAAGCCTGTGAAAGGATGCAAACATTATGCTTCCTCCCTATTTCTTCTTGTATGTATCTCTTCTAGCCCACTCACCTGACTTCCTAAGGAGATGTCCTAGAATATATCAAGGAGACACAATCTGTATCTTCAATCTCTTGCTTTCAAGTGGCTCTTTCCTCTTTTAGCATTCTTAAATCTTTCCCATCTGGGATAGGTGGGTGGGGTCTGTGGACATCATGGACCGTGTCTTATTTGACTACGTAATCTAATAAGCATTCAATAGTGGTCTGTTAAATGAATAAATTGATAGAATGGAGGAACTGGAGAAGCTAGGACCCAGGATTGTGGGTTCTTACAGTTTGCTGAAAATAGGGTAGCTAGAGGGCAGCGCTAGGCAAGGAGTGGGGATTGATTAATGGTTTCTTGAAGAACTTGGATATGGCCTAGTACAGAATTAGTGGACAGGCTTCTTCTGAAAGAAGTTAGAAGAAGTAGTCTTTAGACACATATCAAGGGCTTCTTCCATCTGCATTGTTCAGTTTGCTTCCCCTTAAGTATTTAAGCATGGGTTCATGTGCAAAATAGAATCAGTTTTAATACAGGTTAAGTATTCCTAATCCAAAAACCCAAAATCTGAAATGCTCCAAAATCTGAAACTGTTTGAACATCAACATGATGCTCAAAGGAAATGCTCATAGGAGCATCTAGGATTTCGAATTTTTGGATTAGGAATGCTGAACCAGTAAGTATAATGCAAATACTCAAAATCTGAAAAGATCTGAAACATTTCTGGTCCTAAGCATTTCAGACAAGGGATACTCAACCTGTACCAAAAAGCGGAAGAGGAAGATGAAATAAAAGTTCATTTCCAATATTACTGTACCTTCATACACATGTATCCACTAACATGGAAATGTTACATTTATAAAAGAAACATCATAAAAGCAATGAACCTATTAAAGGGCCTTAGGGTTATCTAAACCCAATTTCCAATCTACTGCTTAAATTAATCCTTAAGAAATCAACCAAATAAGTAAAAGTCTTTGCAGAGACACTTTGGGGGCACTTACTAATATGGCCTACTGGGGGGAAATAAGCTTTGGAGTCAGACATACCTGAGTTTAAATCCCAGTTCCACCACTTACTAGCCGTATGACCTTTCTGAGCCTCAATTTCCTCAACCTAAAATGGAAATTATAATACCTACCTGGAGGGTAGTTCTGAGCATTAAAAACAATGTATATAAAGAGTCTGGCACATAACAGCATTATTAAACACTTACTATGGTTTATTACTCTCTGAGGCATAATAGTTATTTTTAGGCAGCTCTATTAGAGAATTCTTAAACTGTGCCACATCCATACCTTTCAGAGGGAACTCAAGAGTCTAGCCTTTGAGGCCACACAATATAAGTCTATGTCCTACAGCCAGTTACCCAAGTTTTTTCAGTTGAACAGAAGAGTACTAATTTATGAATAACTCAAGGTATTCTTTAGCTAGTATGTTTTCTCAAATAACTGAAATTAGTCCACATTTCCAATTTAGTTTTTGCAAAAAGGTCAGTAGCACATTCTATTACTCTTTCTTATAACACACAAAAGCCCTCAGTCAAAAGAGAACTTCGTTCTAGTTTTCCCTCTGCCACCATCTAGTCAGATAACCTTGGGAAAGTGCTTTACTCCTTTGGATCTCAGTTTTCTTATTTTTAAAATGGATTGAATGATCTACCAAACTTTGTGGCTATGAATACATATGGACAATCCTAATTTGCCTTGGGAAATGCTACCTTTGTTACATATTTTATAAATGGTATTTTCTCTGTGTATCTTCAACTTTTTACAAAAGTTCTTTAAATACCCACACCGTACATACACTCAGTATTTATTTATTATGCACTTATCAGCCACATATTATGCAAAGTGCTTGGGGACTAATGTTAAAAAAATATAGCCACAGTAACTATTTTCACAAAGCAAACAATGTAGTAGGGAGCCACCAACTAGATTATAACATATGAGTGTTATAATTGGGTAAGTATGGGGTGTTATGGGAAATACAGAAGGGTTCCTAATCTGACTTCAGAGTAGGGGCAGGCATATTCATTTAGGAAGGTGACTTAGAGAAAGTGGCATCTAATCTAAGACTTAAAGATGATTAGGACTTGATTAAGAAGTAGGTGAGAAAAGAGTGATCCATCCAGGCAGGGGAAATATCACAACTGGTCCAGTGATGAAGTACAGAATTTTACAGGAGTTGAAAAGAAGCTCTGTATAACTGGAGTGGAATATGCAATGAAGAGAGGCAAGGGATATAGTTGCAGAGGGAGGAAGGGACCAGGTCATGAGGGGGGTTCTAGGCCAAAGTGAAGGATTGGAACTTTAACCCAAAGGGAATGGAAAACCATTCAAGGGTTTTAAGAAGGAGTATAAACTAATCTAATTTGCACTGTAGGAAAGAGAACTTTGCCTTACACTGTAGAGAAAAGAATGGAGATACATAAGACTAGAGGCACAGAAAACAAATGAGGAGACTGTTGCAGGAATTCTAGGTAAACTGCAGGACTGTGGCCTGAAATAGGTAGTGGCAGCTAATAGGTATTAACAGTAAGCTTTAAAGGGTCAAATAAGATAGCGTGTCTAGGAATAAAGAATATGCCAGTGTTTCAAACTTGTCTTCAGCTAAATCTCCCTTCTTTAAATCCTCATGCCACATTCTTTTACTATGCCTCATGTCTTTGTTCTAGATGCTGAGAATGCCAGCATCTGCCTTCAAAGTTTGTTTGCTAGGGCACAAACAAAGAAGAAAAGACAAAACATTTAGTAAGAAACAGAAAGTGATACATAGGGTACCACATAAACACAGAAGACAGGATCTGATTCAGCCAAAGGAAGGAGTAAAGGCTTCCTGGAAGAGGTAGCAAATTGTATAAGTTAAAAAATGTCAACATTATTTTTCCTTCTAAACTTGCCACACCCAAATCCTGACCTACAAACACTCAAACACTGCATTCCTTCCAAGGTTGGGACGAACAGAATTGCACTGTATGTTCCTTCTTTGCAGACGGGGATTATATTTCAGTTTTTATGTTACCTGTTTCTATTTTAAGATAGGGGATCATGAAATCAGTTATATTTCTCTCTTACAGAAATCCTCACCAAATTAAACTGCTTCATTTGTGGATGAACCTTAATTAATTCTGTGTATGGAACACTGTCTTGCAATAGAAATAGGCTTCCCTAACCACCCCTTTCCAGCAAAGACAAATTCACCCTTAACAAGTTACAAAATAAAAACTAAAAAATAATTAAGTGATGCCAAAAAAAAAAAAAGTTAAAACAAGATGACTTACCAGTCAGCATAAAAATTTACTAAAGCAACATCAGCATTGTCTGAAATTGAAAAACAAAAACCAAACAAGCTAAGTTATTTTTATGTATCTACATAATCTTAACATAATTAAAGAAAGTTTTCATCATGATCTCTTCCCATTATAAGGGCCCACTAAAATAACTGTAACAATTAAGTTACCTCTTACTCAGAAACCCACACGTAAGAGTCATCCATCCATGACTTATACAATTTGTGGGAGTCCCTATCTCTTCTCTCTATACCCTCCATCTTTATGCCTTCATTGTATCTTAAACGATTATAAAGCAAAAGGGAAATCAAATCCAGATCATGCAAGTAAGCTACTAAATGGTCGACTCTCATAAAAAATAAAGTGCACAATCTGAATTTTAATAATCCATTTTTTGATCTTCCATATTTGTGAATAACTGAGAATTAGACCTTTAAGTAAAATCCTATTTCACAGAATAGACCTGTATAACTAACTATTTCTAAATCTCAGATGTCCCACCTAGTTGGCAACATGTAATCTACAACAGCATTGCAGAAGATGCTCTTTTTCTGGTTCCTGTCCACTTAACAGTTATTTTCTATTGCAAAAATAACTTATCATTTGCATATCAGACTGTGAAGATATGAGAAAGATGTAGCACTGTTTCTTTTGCCTAAACCTAATTCAGAGAAACAAACTTCTCAAGCACCTATGAAAATAAAACACAAAGATATTCTAGAATCTAGAAGATGACAGGAGTGAGAATAGCATGTCAGTTTCAATTCCCTTCTTCCTTTTTTACCTTCAAAGCACTTTCTATTCGTTTGCTTATACACTCTTAAGCAGTGGTTCACAAACTGTGGCTCCTGGACCAGAAGCATCACCTAAGAACTCACAGAAATGCAAATTCTTGGTGGGGAGAGGGGGATCTAACAGTTTCTGTGAGAAACTAGGGGTCAGGGCTAGCAGTATAGATATTAATTAGTAAGCCCTCCAGGTGATTCTGATACATGCTAAAGTTTATGGAACCACAGCTCTAAAGAGATCCTGTAAGATGGGAATAGACTCATTAGCATTTAAAACTTTAGGAGCACAAAATATATGATGCTCAATGAATGTTATAACTCTTTTTACTTCATTACTTTTGGTTTTGTTATGTGTAAACCAGTAGCTGAAACAGATGTTTTTAAAAAAAGAAGAAGAAGAAATCATTAAGAAAATTGTACATTTTCTTAAAGCTCCTAAGTTGTGATTTTCTATCAACTGCATCTGCAACCTTCCCTTTACTATTTTTAAAAAGGAGAAATGGTTTTCCCAAGTTAATTGTATCTACAATCAGGCTGTCAGCAAACAAAGCATTCTGTAAATTACTTACTGAACTTAATTAGACCAACGACAATAAAAGAGATCAAAGTAGGTGACTTCATTAAAGTAAAATAAAGAAAAAAATTTCTAGGCTGTGTCCTAAGGTCATTAACATTTACTACACAGTGGGAACCGTCAGCCACTAAGTAGGCTTTAGCAAAAAACTTTATGAATTGTTAAGAATGGTGTCTACATCAAGGCAAAGAAATAAAAAAGATTGAAAGTATTACCATACTTATAACACAGGAAAGAAGATTTACATATTTTAAGAAATTTTACTAAAACTCAAAACCAAAAGTACATTAATTCAGTGAGCTATGGAATCAATCAGAATGCCAGCTCTTCATATATTCTAGGTAACTAAGATTTTATTTTTTCTGTATATACACTGTTTATACAG